TCACAAATTGCTAAAATAAACTAGCGTGGTTGTACAGCACTGCATCTGACGTGAAAGAGTGCAGCATAGCTTTATGCAGATTGGGCTATGATAAGGCTGTTAGCAATCAGCTTATTTCAAAACAGTGCGCTGAGAAAAATAGAGAGTTCACTCTCTTTTCTGAAAATTGGAGGTTTGAAGGCTATATAAAATTGGTGCTGGTTTTGAAACCTCCTTGGCAGTTATTAGTTTTCAAATTACTTTTTTGAGCCGAACATGCACAGCTGCTATGTAAAGCAGCAATTTTTCTGGGTACACGGCATCTTTGAAAATCAGTTTCCTGGGTTTTTTCAAGTTCTCCTTTGCTAAGAGTTGAACAGGCCTTTGTGGGGTTTGCTTTAATTCACTGGCATTAACACAGCATATTTAATGCATTAGGGGACATCAGAAAGACTCTTATTGTTCCACTTAATGGCAGAAAGAAAGACGCAGTATCTGGGGCCCACTGAAACCATGAGAGTTCCCTGGATGGGGTTTGTGGGTATTACCCAACTTACGATCTTCAGTCATTACCACACAGGTTTACCTGTAAATTTCAGAATACCAAACGTCATAGCGATTCTACAGAGGTGCCAGGTTGCAGAAAAAATATTTACTTTCTTTCTTCCTTATTCTTCCTATATTTGCTTTTCCTAATTCTCTGCCACATAACTAAGGAAAGTAAATCTAGTGACTAAGTAATCTCCCACGTTGGATTATGTTTTAGATTTCTTATCAGCTTCCATTGTGTAAATATAATCTGACTCATGGGAGAAGCACTGTTATCAAATGTATGTTTCTTTGAAATTTTTGGTAAAAGATAATAATTTATGAAGTTTTTCTACATCTTAAGCCATTATAAGCCATGTTTTGCTCATGCCACACTTTCCTAAATGGACAGAGAGAGTGCATAGCTGGTGGGGCTTTACTGACTTCCCTGATTAATGTTTCCAATTCTTTCTTTATTTTTTTTTTAAGCATAAACTGTGTTAGGTGGAAGAAATAGTACAAATCTGCAAAGATTCATCATGCTGTTCATGTATTAAAGTTGCCTGTATATGCATGGGGAGGATGTGTATGGGCAGGGATACCACAGAACAGTATTAACCATTACAACTGTTGCAGAGTTGCCTAGAAACCAGATCTGCATGAGGTTGTGTTCTCGTAAATTATATTCCCAAGAACTTGGGTGCCTTTTCATTTAAAATATTATTTGCCAAAATCTGGATCCATTAAGTTCCATCTTATCTTGGAACTGCAGAAATGTCTTAGAGCTGTAGGTACCCCAGAGGTCTGCTGCCATTCGGAAACAGAATTATCCATGTCTTGATTGTGCTGAATTGCCTGGTATCTGTGCTGTTCCCAAACCGCAGCAGGATTCAGAAACAAGGTATTTTACCTACTGGGTACTATCTAATCCACATCTTACACACTTAACACCAGTTCTTTTCATCTACCTCATTTGGACTACGGAAGGAAATAGTTCCAACTGGTGGGATTAGAGGTTTGGTAAGATGACTAACCTGCATTCAAAGCTTTGCTGTATATCGACTTGAAGATTGTTTGTAACATACGTTTGTGAGTGTTAATTGATCATTTGCTAAAAAGGACACTGATATCTCCTTGGTTTGCTTTTTTTTTTTTGTCTTGTTTTTGTGAGGGAGGGCAGACCATGCAGAGCACTTTTAACTGCAGGACGGACGAGGCTCACAGTTGTGAATGGAAGTGGATTTAAGTGACTAAGTTACTTCTAAAGGGGATCCTACACATATCTCCTCCCTTGGTATTTTCTCTTAGCTAGGTCAGCCAGTTAGTATTAAACATCTCTCTGTTGAACAAGGAGCTTAAAGATGTTAGGTTGCAGCTGTGAATTCTGCTGGGTAAAAAGACACTATAGTTAGGGATCATGACAAAACTTAAGTGGTTTTAGTAAAATGCAAATGAAAAGTAGAAACCATTCTATCCTTAAGAGACCACAGCATAAATTGGCAAAAGAGAGAAAAGCTGTGAAGCAGAGGTATTTGTCTTACAGGTGAGGGACTGATGCATTAGCTTGCTGAGGTTCATAAAACAGACCTCAGCTAGGATCAAACTTAAATGTCCTTACAGTAGAAGCCATCAGAACCAGAAGCAAGTTACTCATGAGATCCCAATCTTTATTGCTAGGAAACAGGAGGACCAAAGCCTCTGACTTCTTTTTTTACTTGAAAATTTTGTCCATTTGAGGATTCTGTACAGGCAAAAAAGACCAGATGCTCATGGAAACACTGAGTGTACACACAGCTAGCAAATGATATTAAGGTAAGGTAAGTACATCAGGTACAGAGGTGGGAAGCAAAGTTCAGAATTCTGATTATCAGCTCAGACTCTGTCTGGAAGGTAATGTGCTTTCCTAATTAACAAGAGCACCTTTCCTTCTACAAAAGCCACTGGTGGTCATATGCCATTTTTGCTTTTTAAACCAAGAAAAAATGTTACAACATCACTTAGAATCACCAAAAGTTTCTATAAATTTTTATACATTTTGCATGTGTCTACAGATCTGGAGTTCTCTCTATGTTCTAGTTCGTTTTTTTTTCTCCAACTTTGGCTTTCTACTCTTATAAAAGAAAAAGAGATTTCTCAACCCTTAAAAGTGTTCTCAGTATTTGCATACCAAGTATGTAAGCAAAACTAAAAAGGCTCATTCATGCCCTCATTATCCAGTCTCCACTTCAGTGGTGTCATTTAACAAACATGACACTATATAAAAGGGACTTGTGTGAACTGCTCTTTCATTTCACTTTGAAGCAGAAGGGTAAGTTGAATTTCCTTTTAATAAATCTCAAGTAACTTCAGCTAGAAGGCAAACCTGTTCCTTTTCATTTCTGTGGTCATATTTACATTTTTAAATTAAATTTTCCTTTATTAGTATTTTTTTTTACTTTGCTTGTATTAGCTATTTTTGTAGATGAGGAGATGCCTGAAGGACACCAGATTGTAATGACTGATGAAGGTCATTAAAACTGGATTAAAACTGAAGAGCTGTTTTTTCCATTTTGGTATATAACTGATCAGGACTCTGACTCTGCATCATAATCCAATTATGAGCTGGATGCAGTAGTCTATTCAAATGTAATTCCCTGAACGATCAGCACCAGACAAAGAGTACCTGTTGTAATTGCATTTCCTTATCTCAGGGACATAAGTATTCCTAGTCACCTAATGTAGGTTTCTGTTAGAGACTTTAATAATCTGTTCTCTGAGTCATTGGCCCGCATTGGCGGAGGTGCCTGCTAGCCTTCAATATAGGAAAGGGTAAACAACTTGAGACACTTCAGATTCAGCACACAAAACTCGACAGCACTTTTAATACGGTAGGTGCGTTCTTAGGCAGATTTGAAATTTCCACTTGTTAAAGTGGAAATTCTTGACCGTGAGAAACAGGCACTGCTATTACTTAAACAGATTCTGTAGGCAGCGAAATGCTGAAATTTATGGCATAATTGAATATTCTTATGTTCAAGGGTATGCCCCACTGAACTGATTTTGAGGAGACATTCCTCCAGAAAAACAAGTGAACTTTGCCCTTTAAGGGTGTTGTTTTTCATGCAGATTTAGAATAATGTCAAAAGCCTTCTACAATAGGGTCAGTCTGGAAGGTATAAATAATACTTTTTTTTTAAAAGCTCAGACCAGTTTTAGTGTAGCCATTTAATAAATGATAATAATAATAAACTGTTACTTTGATTCTGATTGGCATATATGCTTTGAAACAAATATCTTGTTTTAATTTATGAGCCCAGGTGTTAATAATCTTGCACTAATCAAGCAAACCAAGATTTTAGTCTCAACTATAAGTGGAGCTGGATTTAGACAATATTATGTGTCCGTTAAAATGATGTTGTCAATTCTGAATTTTTTTAAGGATGGAAGTTTTTAAGAGAATGTAGTGCATGATCCTCTCTAATTCATGCCAAAAGTGAAGTCATGGGTATTAAGTTGTTTTGTATGAGTGTCAACCATCAAGGTCATCTTATTAGAAAGCTACACCCATTTAGTCATCTTGAACCTTTCTTTATCTCTCATTGTTTTAACTGAACGATGCCAATAACTGGATATCTCCATGCCAGTGTCTTATAGACCATCAGTTCATGTTTTATAACCACACAACGTTACCGATGCTGTATACCCACTAGCTGCATTGCAAGCCCATGATCTATAGTTCCAGAGCGCTTTTAGTCATGCTATCTTGACACTGAGATTATAACCCTACTTAATGTTACATCTGAAAGGATAAAATAAGATGAATAGGCCTATTGCCAACCCACAAAAATGCATTTTCTACAAGACTAACTCCGACATTTTCAAGCTTGGGGAATTTTGTTCAAAACAAAATAGGAATGCCAACTGAGCTATAAAATTTTGCCCATGTGTAAAACACTCTATCAGTCTGCTTATTTCAAATAAATGTGCTTAAATAGTACTGTGCTTAAAGAGTTTGCTAACTAGTTCCAAACCATCACAGCGACCGCTGTAAGAGATTCTGCCTTTCAGGTTGGTAGCACATGCATCTATGTTTCATTGAGTGATTATAGCCCTTACAGACGACTAATGGCTTAAGCGTGATCAGTTACATCTAAGCCCATCATTTCTTAAAGATTAGTCCAACAAATAGTCAGCGATAGCAAAAAGGATTATTTGTCTTCACTACTCCCAATCGGGTAGCTGTCATTCTGTAATGAGCATACCAATCTGTATCAGTCTAGAAACAATTTTGTGTATAAGCTATGCAATGGTAGCAAAATATACCTGGGAAACCTCTTACACTTAAACTATAGATTTTGTTTAAACAAGGAAAGAATGTACATTTCAAAAAGGGATGAAGGGGGTAGGGACAGGGAGGAGAAAATAGTGTTCAATTATATGTTCAATGATACAATTTCTTACAGAATCATTGCCTGACAAATATGTGGGTTTTCTTACAGCTAGCCTAAGCAGTCATGTTGTCTTACTCACTCTACATGCTCACAGCAGTAGCTGTGTTGCTAATGACTTGCCATACACCGTGTAAATGTTCAGGAATTCCTGGACTATCCGGAAGAGGTGGTCTGAAAGGACAGCCACGTCTACCAAGTAAGTAAACTTCCCTTTTTTGCTACAAATCCTTGTCATGAAGGCTGCATGAATGAAGAAAACACAGAAGACTATAGGCCCTCAAGGAAGCAGCTGCATTTAGCAGAGAGGGGAAAGATGAATGGAGGAAATGGTCAGTTTAATATTTTTTTTCTAAAAGATAGGCCTCCCCTCCCTCCTGGGAGAGGAGGGGAAATGAACAAGTTATCAATAGTTAAACATATAAATGTTATATATTTTTACTCTTACTTATATTATATACACATATATATTTGTAGTGCTTTTTCCATTGACTTTCCAAAGATAATTGCTGCTTGCACAGCAGAAGCTTTTTCTCTGATTTTTTTTTAAGTATGAAGAAAATGTTATTCTAGTATTTACAAGTGTAATTAAAAGGCTTCTGGCACGTTTCTCTAGTATTCGGAGATGGTATGTGCAAAAGTAGTCTGGTAAGGAACACGCTTTGCACTGCATAATTTTCTTTCCATGTAGAAATGCTTTCCCCAAGTCCATTACCAAGGCTAAAACACTATCAAAATTATTCAAACACATTTCAGTTTGAGATCAAGTTCTATTTCTGAAGTTCCCAGAATATGCATCAATTGGAAAGAAAATTATGCTTCTTTTTCCCAGGTCTCATAGGAAGCCCTAAAGGGCCTCCTGGAAGAGATGGTCTTCCTTGGCTGCGAGGTGAGAAAAGAGAAAAAGGGGATATTGGACACCACGTGAAAAAGGCTGATGTGCATGTAATGTTCTGTCAGTCAAATGGACTCTCTTTATAGGGGGAAATATGTTGGGTTTTTACTGACTGTGAAGTGCAGTAAGAGTTGCAACACGGCAACTCTGAGAGAGGGAGATGCAGCAGTATTTTGTGCTTCTACATTGCCATTTGTTTTAGTTGTGAATAATGGCAACACGATCATGGGAGCACACTAGCAACTTTATTCTACGTGTAGGACCGTTGTTACCCATGGCAATTTGTATGAAAAAAGTATCTACCTTTACCGTGAGTTCCCATCTTTAGCAAGCAGTGCTGGATGGATGGTATTTCACACATTCTATGCAGAAACCCTCCTATACCGGCGTTTATGGTTTCCGTTAAAATAAGATCCCACTGTAAAAACACAAAGCATCCACCCTGCAGATTAAAAAGAAAATGGTATGGTGCCATAGGAACTGTTCCCTCCCCAAAATACCCCTTGTGCCTGTTCACTAACAATTATTAGAATTAAATAAATTCTCTTTGGCAAAGCCACTTTCGCAAACATGCTGAAACTAAGGCTTCAACCCAGAAAAAATCACTTTTCTTCTGTGCAGAAGGGAATTATCAGCATTTCAGAGGGCTGGAGGTTATTGTTTGTTTGCTTCAATAGAGCTTAACAGTGTGAAAAAAATGCTGGGAGAATATTTCTTTTACACCAGGTGATGTTAAAAAAATACATTGTGTGCTAGTTAGTTTTGGAAAATGATTAGTTTTACCCAAGGAATTTTTCCTGTCAGCAAAGCCTAGTTTTGCTTGATTGTCTAACTTCTATTTTTATCTGTGTAGGTCTATTTTATTCTCTGGACAGCAACCTCCACAATGTTTTAGTAAATTTGCAGCTCCGACTTTCCAGACTTGAAGGCGGTAATTTTTCCTATTTTTACTTTTTCAGCTCACAAGCAGCTTTAAGTGCAATAGGCAAAATTAATTATAGAATCATGACTTTCAGGAAATAGATCACACTTGAAAATGGCACTACATCCCAAAACTCTATTTTCTCATCCAAAGTAGGGGGGATCGGGACTCATTTTCCCTGGAGAAGCAGGTTTCTCTCAGGAACATTAATGCACACTTATTCAAGCATGATTTATTAAAAAAAAAAATATTCCAACTGATGTTGCACTTTTTACACATGGATTCATGGGAACTCCTCAGCCTTGTACCACATTGCTAGCATTTTTATCCACCGGCAACCAGGTTGTTAAAAGTGGTAAATTGTTTTGTACCAAGAAGGAATTCACAAAAATTATCATTTCTCCATTTCACTTGCTCACATTTGCAGCAAATGGATCCTCTTTAGAGAGTACACACAATGTAATTGGGCTGGTAGTGTATGTAGAAAATGGTACTGGGGCATCCTTGTCTTGGAGAAGACAATGACAGATGGTCACAAGGAGCATAACTGTCCTAGTGAACAACTCGTGAATTGGTAAAATTTTGAAGATCTTTATTCCTCTTCATTCTTTACTTTGATTCTTGCCCTCTGTTCCTCTTACCACTTTTAATTTTCTCTTCATCTCTTGATTTCTCTTTCTTTCTTTGCTTTCTCATCAATATGCCATAGGAAATTAAAGCAGCTAACTAGTTTTTTTCTTTTCACGTTTTAGTGCTTGCTTTGAATGGGAAAATAAAAGAAGCAGGAGAGAAAATATTTGCCAGCAATGGGAAGGAAGTTGATTTTGAATCTGCACTAGAATCCTGCGAAGAGGCTGGAGGAACTCTTGCAACTCCCACAAATGAAGAGGAGAATAAAGCTATTTTGGATATTGTGAAACAGTATAACCGCTATGCTTACTTGGGCATTAGAGAGGGTGAGATTTCAGGTCAATTTAGTTATATCAAGGGCATGGCTCTGAATTATACCAAGTGGCACCAATATGAGCCTAATGGCAAAGGGACAGAAAAATGTGTAGAGATGTACACTGATGGGAGTTGGAATGACAAAAAATGCAATCTGTATCGCCTCACAATCTGTGAGTTTTAAAGAATGGCCTTTCAGCCGCTGCAGAGGATGGAGACAATGAAATATGCTGTGTCTCAGGTTTATGCAATTTCTGCAATTATTCTATGTCAGAAAATCTAAAACTAATCATATTACGGTATTTTGTACCCTTAAAAAAATGACAAGTGTGGTAGGTGATTAACTTAATTAAAATGTGCCTAATCTAATGTGTTTATCTCTTTTGAAGGGTTGGAAATAGCTTAGAATTCATTTTTTTCACGGCAGACTGTCTCTGTGCACCATGCCTTGGTGAAGATTAGAGGAATATTCCAAGGTTTGACTTGGGATATTGGAAAAGTCTGAAGTTAAAGTTGCCTGTGGCTTCATAGTGGAAGCATTTCCAAAAATTTAATAGTTTCTGCCTTAAAAGATATGCACAAAGGTTGACTTCACTGGAGCAATTGTGGTCTTAGGTTTTGTGCGCCTCTCTGAATTATAGGGCTTGTTTTGTGTCATATTGAAGCGTGCACTGATTCATTCAGCATCCATATTTAATTTTTGTTCTATAAAAACATTAACAGTAGCAGTTAGAATTAATTTTCTTAGTTGCAGAAGCTACTCTCCATAAAACACTAAGATAAACATTGCATTAGATCCAAGTAGACATAGAAATGTGTATAAAATACCAAACATTGCATTTTGTTGCTAAAACATCACATTCCCTCATAAATCTATGACCATTGCAGTGCTGGAAGGCCACCTGTCTTCTCCCAAAGCACTCAACAGCCACTTACTATTTTGGGGGAGCAGGTAAGAGTGGAGTTCAATCAGTTCAAACATAAGCTATTTCTCTGCTGCTGTCATGCCAAGCAACCACACAGTCAGACCACGGCTCAAATCTGCTAGGATCGAGAAGTGTCCTTTCACAAAATATTTTCACCGCTACTCCATTTGGGTAGCTGGTGAGCAGTGGGAGCTCAGCCAAGTACCACAAGTAGCAAATTCTCACACACTTACTTTGCAGTGAGGAAGTCCTGGGCCTATCCATTATCATTTTCACATGATGGAAAAAAGGAAGCACTGGAGTTAAAATACACACCTATATAAACACTTTTACTTCATCTTCTCCTCCCACCCCCCCTCCAATTTGGCTCTGTGCAGGGAGCCCTTAGGAACCTGGACTTGACTAGGGGCAGTGTTGACCCTTGCCCCTAGCCTGCACTGAGGAAGAGAGGGGATCTATTCACATGGGCACTTCAAGCCCTGTCAGGTAGGAAAGCTTTAGCATCTTCAGATGCAGGACATAAGGGGATACTTTTGCCAGCAGGGGATTCATGTCCAGCATTGCATACAGCTCTCCAGCTGATCTGAGAGTGGACAGGAATTTTGAAATGGGAAAAGTACACCCAGTACCATGTGGGATAGATTTCAAGGTGTGAACCTGCTCTACAAAACAGCTTCCTTTGAGACCTATGACCATGATACCATTTTGGCCAAAAATTTCAAATGAGAAGGGAATAGATCATGCCATGACAAAACTTCTGACTCTCAGCTTACTTTGAGAAAAGATAAGGCTTATCTCTGGCCAGCTGCACTAAATCTGCTAGAAAGAGTTGAAGGTTTACTTAAAACTACCTCTACCTCTTGCATTTTAATTATTAGCATTTTAATGAGTAAACCTTGTTAGCAATTTTTGAGGTTTTCAACCGTACAGATTCTTTGTTAGAGCAAGATGATTACTGGGCATGAGAAGGCATCATGTTGGAGAAAGAAAGAAAGAGAAAAAAAAATATCACTCTACTAACATCTGAATTTAATCATCTCAACCAAATTCACATATTCATTTACACATATCTCCCAACTAGTAGGTTTGGAGTATCCTATTCCATTAGTTAATCAATTCATAATTTCCACCATATTGTGTTTACAAAATGACTATACAAATCTCTTATTAAAATCCTTAATGTGTAAAATAATGTGTTAAGCCATCTGTAAGATATCACCTATCTCTAAACAAATACAGACTCCAAGACACCTGGATCCTTTTTAGCCAGTTAGGAAAAATAAGTTTTTCAGTCAAAAGCTGATTTTTATTATATCAATAAGCAAAGCATCTAGGCTAGGTCTCAGAGTCTGGTTTCTTTCTGCTTAAACCATTACTATTAGAAGAAAAAAAAAAATCAAACATGCACATGCTGCTTAAAAACAGAAACTCCTCAGATCCAGTCAAAGAACTGCTAGGCAGCACTTTCCCCTCTATGATTCACACTGAGATCTGTAACATTTCAGGTAATTGAACAAAACTCTCCAGCTATTTTCATAAAATAACTCCATATAATCATCATATTCAGCTTTTGTCTTGCTATGCTCTCTAGCCTTCCCCTGATACCACTCCGAAGCAGCCCTCCTCCTTCTGTGTCCAAAGACTTGACTGTGCCTCATATGGGGGATGCCTGCCAGTTGCCTGCTGGCTTTATAAAAAACTGTGTCCATGGACTTTAAGCTCCTAACTCTAATTTTAATTATCCTATCTTTAATTTCCTAACTTCAGAGGGGGAAAAAAATAATCTAGTGTCAACCATCATATGTAGAAGAAATAAAATTCCCTAGTAAAAGCAATATTCTACAGACAGGCTTGGAATGTGTTTGTATCTCACGGGATTCATATGTGGTAATTAAAATCCTGGTGAAGGTGCCTACTCCGTAGAATGTTACTTGATTAATAGTTGCAGTTCCACAGAGGAACAGAAAAGTATCCAGAAATTGTTATTTTCTTATTTTAGATGGGGGGTTTTGTGTGCCTATAACCCTATCAATTTAAACCCTCAAATGCTATTTAAAACACTTCTAAACATTTCAGTCTATTTTTTTTTGTGAAATATCCAAATTCTGCATTCACCTATTAATGAGTTTTTTTTTTAAATGGACAGAGAGGTCAGGCACAAGAAGAAACAGAATAAATTCTTTCTCTGTTCTGTTATTATAGGATAAATAATTTTGATAAAATCTATCCTTAAAAATGCAACGAGCAAAAGTAATCCCTGGTGCATGATGAGACCAGGAAAAATCCAGGTGAGTCTTTTTTTCTTAATTTATAATAATTTGCTACAGAAAAGCAAGCTAACAGTAAAATCTTTAATTCAGAAAGTAACTTATTCATTTCTCAAATCCTGTAAAAGCAGATTTGGAGAATTAAGATCTTAGTACAAGGTCACAAGATTCAGTCCCTTCTGAATGGATTGTGCATCACAGAAGAGAAGTTCAATACAATTGGTATTACAGTATATTTAACAGGGAGGGTTTTGTCTGGCCATAAAAAAGATGGATATTGATTTCAGAGAGAATTTCCTCTGGTCTAGAGTGACATCCTCTTTTATAACTGTATAATTTAATTAGGTGGTTTAGCTTAGAAATACTATTAACAATTTTGAGCACTTGAAAATATCTCCCCCACCCCATCAGTTCCTACTATATACAAAGAAATTGATCTTAGATTACAGAAAATAAGCCTTTTTTTTTGATGACTTCCTGATTTTTGTAGAAAATTGATTAAAAAAACCCCAAACCCTATGGTTCTTGAGAAAATTGTATTTAAGTTCAATCCTATGTGAACATAGTAACTGGCAGGATATGACATAGGCTAGCAGGGCTACCTTACCTTGTACAAATTGCAAATTGTGGCTAGTGAGTCCTTTATTTATTTTTAATTTTGAAACCAAATTTAAAGAGGAATCATAATGTTATTCCTCTGCTCTTTCCCAGAAAAAAGATGATAAATGGTGGTAAAATACCAGTACTTGCTGCCGCAATATCCTAGCAGTGATGCATTACAAAGTAGGGCAAAGGTTAATCATACATTTTTAAATTTATTTGCAGCTTTTCTTTAGAAGAACAAGTGCAAATGGGAAAATAAATATTTGCCACCAGGAAATTTGTTAGCTGGTTTTGAAACCCCACTGAAAAGTGGCAGAAAGACTAATGGCCCTATTACAACTTTCATGAACCAGAGGAAAACAATGTTCTTGGGAGTATTGTGTAATGGTGTAACAGACGTGTTTGTCTGGACCTCAAAGCACGTCAGACTGGAAGTGACTTTCATTATCTGAAGTTGAAATGTACTGTTATAAAATTATATTAGCCTACAGTTGTACAAACATACCTGGGTTTAAAGCACAGTCAATACAGGATGCTTGGAAATTAGAGTAGTACCTTTAAAAATGATAAGGGGACTTGGATTTGAGTTGAAGTCCCTGTTAGGAAACCAGGGTTTGGCAGAATTTGGCTCAAGGGTGATAAACCAGGCATGATGCCAGGTGAAACCTGGAATGAAACTTTCACCCACCTCTGCCCTTGTGGCTCAGGAGCCAAAAGGAACTGTACAGCAAGGGTACCTGAACCCTTGAGAAGGATGAGTGGTGTGGCTGACGCCTGAGGGACAGGATGCCATCCAGAGGACCTGGACAAGCTCAAGAAGTGGGCTCATGTGAAACTCATGAGGTTCAACAAGGCCAAGTGCAAGGTCCTGCACCTGGGTTGGGGCAATCCCCAGTATCAATACAGGCTGGGGGATGAAGGGGTTGAGAACAGCCCTGCAGAGAAGCACTTGGGGGTACTGGTGGATGAGAAGCTGTACGTGAGCCAGCAATGCGCACTTGCAGCCCAGAAAGCCAACCACATCCTGGGCTGCATCAAGAAAAGCATAGCCAGCAGGTTGAGGGAGGTGATTCTGCTCCTCTACTCCATGCTGGTGAGACCCCACCTGGAGTCCTGCATCCAGCTCTGGGGTTCCCAGCACAGGAAAGACATGGACCTGTTGGAGAGAGTCCAGAGAAGGGTCACAAAATTGATCAGAGGGATGGAACACCTCTCCTCTGCAGAAAGGCTGAGAGAGTTTGGGTTGTTCAGCCTGGAGAAGAGAAGGCTCCAAGGATCCTATTGCCACCTTTCAGTACTTAAAGGGAGCTTATAAGAAAGATAGGGACAAACCTTTTAGTTGCAATAGAACAAGGGATAATGATTTTAAACTATTGGAGGGTAGATTT